GGCGGGGGGGTGGGGGGAGGGAGAGAAGGGGGGGGGGCAAGAAAATGGGGCGGTAAGTCTCACTTTCGAGACGCTGCTACTTCAAGCGCCCACTGTGACGGGTTCCCCGCCCTCGCTCGCCTTATTTTTTCCCCCGGCCGCTGAAGTTATGAGTTAGTTCGTCCTTGTATCCGCAGGCTAAAACAGTAAGTTCTTTTCCAAAGAATGCTGTGAGGAGCTCTCGGGTTTTTGGCAAATCAGGAGAGCAGGGCACGTGTCAGTTTTCATTACGCCTCCTAAACTCTGTTTATTGAGATAATAAAAGGATCGCCCTGTACTCTCCCTGTGCACACATGTGTACGTTTAAATGCATGCTTGTCTTGGAAGCGTAGTTTTCTTCTTTCAATGTTTGCAAGGGTCTTATCTTGAAAGAAGAATAAATGTGTGTTGGTATTAGACATCTCTAGTGCCTCAGTCACATCCTTGTTTGCTTCGATGTCGCTTAATGGTTGGTGCAGTTTCCTAAAATAAGGTAAACTTGAAATGTACACTTTCACGTCAGCAAAAAGAAAAACCTTTTCACGTTACAGTGTATCACAGACCCCTCTACCTCCCAAAATACTGCCATATCCAGAGTTTCCAAAATCTGTTATGTCTGAGCATCCTTAGATCAAAGTCAAAAGGAAGTAAGTTGATACTCTGCCAGCCAAATAGGAGCAGGAGTGTTTTGCACAGGTTCTCTCATAAGAACTGTGTAGGAGAAAATAGTAGCTGGAGGGGCTATACACAACAAACTGATTGGCATGGTTAACTTGCTTGTTGGTTCAAAACTCCTGTGTTCGTGAGATTTGATTTAGCCACAAAACACTACAGTACTAGATTTGAATGATGGCGGGTAAATCAGCAAGCTGTATCTTTTTTTATGCACCTTGCCTAGACTGAATTCTGAGGGTGTTGAGTGCTGAGGGTGTTGTATTTTTGTAGTTGGAATATATTTTTCTTTGAATGTTGCAAATAGAATGAGAAATTTCCCTCTCAACCTTACCATCATAAATGTACTTTTGCCACATACAGGCTAATGGGTTTTAAATTGTAATTGGGAATAGGGCTGTGTCAAAAAGAGGAGTCATTCTGCTGGTGTTAGAGCAATCTCTCTCTCTCTTTCTTTAACCTCTTATGGAGCTGACAAGATACATGTTTTATCTGTGTTTTCTTGGCCCTTTATTAAAAATAAACTTGATGTAAGGATTTCAGAAAATGAGAAGAATAATTCTCAAGCCACAGCATTGGGATTAAGAGCCATGTAGTGGGGAGGCATTTGCCTCACTTGGATTCTGTCATCTGATCCTTTTAAGCACCTTGCCACCATTATAGAGTTCCCGGTTCACCACAGAATTTATTCTTGGATGGCCATTTTGTCAAATTTAACAAAAAAGGGAGGCTTTGTAGTAGTTTAGCTTCTCTGACCTTAAATGTGTGCATGTGTCTATGCAAACACACACATCTTTTTGATAGTGCTATGTCAGGCAGTTGTTTTGTGCTCTTATCTCTTGCCAGGACTGTCTTTGCCTCAAAGATACTTTCTGAAATATTGTATTTGTCAATATCATCCTAGAATAAAGGTTTGTGGAGGATGGTAAAACAAACAAAGGAAAGTCAGCTGCTTTTTCTTTGCTTTCCTTGGTTCTGATGTTATGTAGATAAAAAACATTAAAAAAAAACTATGAAGCTAATTCTGAGTAGTTCAGTTCTCAGTAAGTTGCTTTTATGAAACTGTTTTGTTGGTGAATTCCTGCATTCTCCTCCTCCTAGGTATACTCCCTATATCTACTATAAGGGATTACTCACTTTCCATATACATCTTGAGATTAGGTCTGGCTTTATGCTTTATACTTCTCTTTTTGGGGAGTGATGTCTTTGCTGGTTTTTGCAGAAACAGTTTCTCCAGACCACAAAGTTATGTTTTAGTCTAAGTACAAGTTAGGTTACTTGTAGCCTGATCTTTTGCAAAATAAGATTCTGAGCAAATGTATTATTTATTTATTACATTTATACCGCAGATTCCAGATCAACTCTCTGTGGTTTAAACAAACAACAATAATGTACAATAAAAACAAAAATAAAGCATCAGAACAGTAGTTTAATATTTAAGAGGGTAAAAACCATCCTTCTGACCCACAATTATAGATAACATTATTAGACTTCAAATGCCCTGCAGAACAGATCCATCTTCAAGCCCTTCCTGAGGGAAAGAATCGTTATACAAATTTAATGAACAAATAAATAAAATTTTGAAAATAGATACTTCCCAACCTCTGGAACCTGGAAAGGAAGCTGTACTACAAGGAGGAGGCCACCATGGAAAAATGCTGACTTCAGACCCTCACCCATTTCATCTCATATTTGTAAGCAACCCTGATCACCCTCATCTGATTAAGTGTATCAGATGATCAGTTCCATCTGGAGGAGGCTGTCTGAAGATATCTTCAAGCCAAGCCATGTAAGGCTTTAAAGGTTAAAACCAGCACTTTACCTCCCGATAGGTTAACAAATGTAATTCAATTTAGCACACGCAACACTGCTGTTATATGGCTATAGTGGCTATTACTTGTCAGCATGTGAACGGTTTCATTCTGCACTGATTGCTGTTTCTCAACAGTTTTCAAAGGCAGCCCCATATAAAGTTCATTGCAGTAGTCCATTCTGATAGTGACAGGAGCACTGAAATCAGGTGGCTTGAGTACTTAACTCTGCATAGGAATGCAGGCTTCCCTTCTCCACCTTTCTGAAAACATGAATACACTCTAAAACGTTTCAAATCCATTTGCCAAATGCAAATGGTGGTGCTGGTATTTTCTAAATGCTTCACAGAAAAAAAGAAAAAGAAATTATTTCTCCAAGCCTGCCTCATTTACGTAGTCTAGTAAGAATGTGAGGTGCTTTGTCACCTTCATTCATTCATAGCTCTAGTGAAGGACTTACTGAAAATGTAAAGCCAAAATGTGGTTTGTTTCTTTCTACTAAGCATGTTGTTTGAGCCCAGACATTGTCATTTGTAGATCAAGGTTTATGGCTTAGCTTGTGGAATCTGCCTAACTGTGGCTTATTCAAAAACTAAGCTGCATACATATTCATTACATAGTGAGTGAGTGGTCTGCCTATCTATGGCTTTTTGACTTGCTGTGGTAATGGTTTAGTTTTCTCCAAAATGTCAGCTTTTTTCTTCTTTTGTAGACAAGGACTAGAATCACACATCACACTAAGTCAGAAGCAAAGAAGCCATTATATAGTTTAAGTGCAATTTGTGAACCCAGCCAGTTATAACTTACTCTGCAAACAGATGAAGGGGTTGAATGCCCAGTTGGTTTATGTGTGTAGATGAAAACAGTCTATTTTCTCCTAGGTGCCTCCTAGTTGCCTAGTTCAATTATTCTTGACCAGTTGTTGCTGTGGGAATTTTGTTATCAGATTCTTTGAGGGAAGGATTTCAGCTTCCTTGTGTTAAGACCTTGTTCACATCTTTTCCTTTGATGGTAAAATACTTCCCTGTGACTTTCTCTTGTCAGTTCTATGTTCTGAGTATTTGTTACAGAGCAGCCCTTATCAGATAGAAGGTTTGACAACTGACAACTTTCCTGGTATGATAATGTACTGCTGTCACTTTGTAGCAGGATGTATAATACTCTCCTAGTGATATTGATGAGATGAAATAGTCTTGTGGACTTACCCTGGGAAGTGGGAATGTGCGAACTGGTCTTTGGGGAAACAAATTAAAGAAAGAGACTTATACTATTAGTAGTCTTCAGTCCATGTTCTGGATGTGGGCCATAAGCATCTGGTATAACCCATGATATCAACATGACATCACTTCCCCCCTGTGGCTGCCCCTAGTATATACTCTTGGTTTTCAAGGGAGAGAGCATAGGGGAAAAACAGATCACTGAACTGAGTTGAGTGAGCATGTGGTTTCTTAAAGCATACGGAATAGACTGCTGTTAGTGCCAGGGATCTGCTTGCCTAGCTCATCCATTCTGAGAACTGTAGAAATT